AGCACCGCAAGCTCCCAATCAAGTGAGTGGGGGAAACAAATGCGGGAGCTGAACATAGGGGAACACACACTCGGTCCCGGCGGTTACAGAGTGGCGGAGCCTATATGGGACAAAGAGGAGGCGGACCGTGCCGAACAAGGCCTACCGCCCCTCTTCGAGAAATACAGCGGTAACAAGCAGACCAGGAACTTTGTCAGGGCCCGGTACAAGAAGGACCCGAAAACAAAGGAGCTTACCACGGATCCGAAGACCAGGCAGCTTGAGCTTGTTCTGGTAAGGAATACACCCCCGCGTAATTAGCTCCATATGGTTGCATTCTAATTAATGAAGCCAAATTTCTAAATGGTTCACATTCCTTCCTCAGGCGACTGAAAGCAGTAGCGCGGGGTCGACTAAGAGCAACCCTTGGGACAGCACTCTAAATAGGGCGTTGAATGTAATGAAGAAGAAGGATAAGCTCAGTAAGCCGACGTCAGCTGGTCGTGTGGCCGGCAAAGGCTTGTCGACAAAATGGGGGTCATACTATACCGCTGGTTTGCGGAAGGAGAAAAAGACCAGTTCGGAAAGCCAGGCGCGAGAGGTTCAAGAACTCAAGGAACAGGTGGCGTGGATTCCGGAGATTGTCCAAGAGCAAGTGGAACAACAACTCGGAGCGACGATCACCGCCATTGTGCCTACCTTGATCTCGGGGTTGAGTGCGTGGATTGCGGGCGGCCAACAGGGGCCGCCCCCGATTCCTAGCTTCATGGCCAGCAAATCGCATAATGCGATGGCGGGGCCAGTGGTGCCTCCGGCGGAGGCGGCATTGGTGTCTCCGACGCCGGCACGGGAGCTTAATGCACCCGGGTGTACGCCGGCCGGCACCTCTGCAGCAAGCGGCCCCTCCGTCAACTGCACGCCCGCCATTGGCGGTGCATCGACATTAGCCGAGCTCGACGCCATCATCACGGTAACTAATTAAGCCTCTCTCGGACGAGGACTTCATCTCCTTGTCTTTGACTGGGCATCCCTGACGCCCTACATGTTTTCGCAGGGCGCCGCTGACGTTCCGTGCACTCTCCTCCACTTCGTGAACAATGAGTTGGTCGATGTCGCCAAGGGAAAAATCGTTCAACCGGGCAACCCCTTGTTCCAAGGTACCCAGATGCCACCCAACTTGTTTAGGGTTCAACTGGTTCGAGTGCTGCCAGGCTGCGACGACTTGTTACCTCCGATTCGACCCGTCGGGGCCGACGATGAAGACGTGATGACCCTCAGCGCCTGCCTGAGCTGGCCCCTGGTTTGGCCGAAGAGCCAGATTCGTTTGGGGGCGGGGGACACCACCCCAAAGACAACACCGCCAGTCGTGCCGGCGCCAAGTCGGCCCCATGGCAAGACCGTCGTAACGGTGCTGGACATCCCTATGCCACTGGATCCAAACATGCATATGGCACAGGATCAGAACGACGACGACGACAACGATGATACATTTGGCAACGTCGATCAGTACTTTGCCGATCATGGGTACGATGGCGACTTCATGGGGCCTCCTTCTCAAGAACCAAACCCAACAAAAGACATGTGCGATCTAGCTGGTACCGCGGAGAAGCCAAGTTGCAACAGGCGCCATCTGGCGTTCAGCTCTCAGGAGACGCCTCCAGCTGCCGACTTCACCGAGCCTCAAATAGGTGAGGTGCGAAATATTATCATCCCCAACACACTCAAGAAGGCGGTCTGTGAGCAGAACTCGGTCCCATTACAGGAGAAGAAGAAGGCACGCAAAAGAAAGACTAAGAATGGTGCGAGCCAGCCGGCACCGAGTACGATCCGTGCTCAGGGCGGGCCACCTTCACCGCAGGATATCTCGAGGAGGGTGCATGTGGCGGGTAGGGCGATGCTACCGACAAATATGCTCAGTGCTGCAACCGGTGCTATGCGGAGTCTGCATGACAGTGTTCTTGCTTTGGAGATGCGGCGTCTCAGAGAGAAGGATGTGGCATACCCGGTTTTCGCGGCCAAGGTGCCAGAGGGCAAGGGCTTTGTGGATAACTCCATCGGGCGTACGACCGTCCTGCGTTTTGATGACATCCACGCTATGTTGAACCTTCATCCGCTGCACTACACCTTCGTTCGACTATTTTCGCTGAGTATGGATATGCGGATCATTCGCGACAAGACCCCGGACATCGTGATAGTCGACCCCTTCTACATGCGTGCCAAGATCTTGGGCAGCGCTGGGGACCGGCAAGTCGCGAGTTCTTACCTCGAAGGCGTCATTCTGGCAAACCAAGATAAGAATAACTTCCTCATGCCTTACTTTCCCGAGTAAGTCCTCCCCTCAACCGGCCCGTAACATATGAATACTTACATTTCGATCGTTTTTCTTTTAACATTCCGTGTTTTCTGCAGTGACACACGTTGCACGCTCATCCTCCTAAGCCCCAAATATTCCATGGCCACGTATTTCCACCCGGACCGTCAGTCGAACGTAGACTACACAAATGTCAAGAAGGTTCTTGATGATGTTCTCCCCGGCTACGCCAAATCTGGAGGCACCTTCACCAGGCCTAATCGTAAGTACGGCAAGCATGTGTTCTCCCACAATACGACGTTCTGCTGCGTCAAGCAGCCGCCTGGCGGTCAGAAGGGTGCCTACTACGCCATCCATCACATGCGGGCGATTGTACGGGACCATCATCAACTTCTGCTACCGAGTAAACTCAAAGATTGGGCAAAGAGCGTGTCGGCAATCTAGGACGCGGACCTCCGACAAGAATTCTTTCGCATCCAGTCGGAGTTTGCGGAAATCATCCATCAAGATGTCCTTCGTACCTCGGGGCAGTTCTACCTCAACAATGAACCGTCCAACAGTGACATCGACACAATGCTACAAATGCAGGCGGACAACGACCGTTATTTCATGACTCCCACGATAGACGGCGGCTTCATCCACGCTCCGGTCCCTTGAGTCGAGTCGAAAGCAGTGATGCTGTGTCTAGTTCTGAAACATCGATTGGATCATGTTGTAATTAAACTTTAATGAACTTGTAGTATGTCTCTTTGGTTTCAAGAGGCGTTCAACTTAGATGTAATCGATGCTATTAATGTCTTGCTTTTCTCTTCCGATCGTTCTGTTGCATACTTATATATTGCTTATGTATTTTCTGTGAATTGGTACTAACGTTTCGTTTGGCTAGTGCATAGCGATGCCGACGTATGTCGTGTACAAGGGTAAGGTTCCCGAAGTCTACGATGACTGGGAGGAGTGTCGGACACAGGTTCACCGATTCAGCGGTAACAGTTACAAAGGGTACACCACTAGGGCCGAGGCCAAATCTAGATACGCCCGCTATCTAGCGGGAGAGGGGAGGGAGCGTTGAAGGAACCGGATGAAGACGAGTTTCATCGTGATGATGCTCATCGTGATGACCGCAGCTCTCTTCTATGTGATGGTAGTTTAGATGAACGATATCGACTTGTAATGTGAAGACAAACTCGCTACTCGCGGTCTCGAGACTTGTAATATAATGTTCTATCTTTGTTCGGTCTTTTCAATTCGGAGACTAATATGATGAACTGTATTCGGAGACTAATATGATGAATTGTATTCAAAGGCTAATCTTCTATTGTATTCGATGAATCTGTTGTTGATGTGTGCTGTCTATATTTTGTCAAATTATACATTTTGTAACCTGTGCAAAAAACAGAAAATAAAAAATAAAAAAAAACCTAATATTCATACTAATGGCGCATCACATGACAGTGCGCCATTAGTATGACAGTGCATACTAATGGCGCATCACTGGGCAGTGCGCCATTAGTATGCCGCGGTTACTAATGGCGCATCTAGTGGTGGTGCGCCATTAGTATGCCAAAGCACCTGGGTATACATGGCCCCTGGGAGGCATACTATTGGCGCACCCTGACCTATACTAATGGCGCACCAGCGGTGCGCCATTAGTACACCAGATACTAATGGCGCACCAGGTGGTGCGCCACGGTGCGCCATTAGTACACCAGATACTAATGGCGCACCAGGTGGTGCGCCATTAGTAAAAATTACTAATGGCGTGCTATCAATGATGCACCACAGATGCGCCATTAATGGCCATTTTAGGTGCGCCATTAGTAGGGTTTTTTCTAGTAGTGAGGGGAGGGGGGCGTGGATGGTGAGGAGAAGGTGAGAGGAGGAGAGAAGGGGTGGCAGCCTCAGACGTGGGGAAGGGCGTGGGTGGTGGCAGCGGCTGTGAGGAGGTCGTCGGTGGCGGCGGCGGAAGACAAGGGAGAGGGAGAGGAATCGAGGGATGGGGAATGGTGGCTGGGCAATCCGTTTCTTTGTTTTTCTCTCTTTTTACCGGACGAAACGAACGATGTGGTGCCCGATGGGGCGGCGAAAGAAAATCGTTTTTTGGCTCGAAGCTAATCCGACGTGGACAGCACCAGAGGCCGCACCTTGCGCGACTGTTAATGTGTTCAATATGTATGCCGGTTATGTGGGCGTCAGCTCTAGGTTTTATTTCATTTGTCTATGCATGGCCCCTGCCGTAAAAGTGGGAAATAGCAAAACCCCGTTTGCAAAGAGGGTCTTCCACAAATGAGTGTTTTGATTTTGCCCTTATGAGATTGGTGCCCTTGTAGTAGTTTTGACCCCATTTTCTTTGATATGTACATAAGAATTGTTGGAACTAAATTGGAGTCACCTATTGCACCCGAACAATGTGCACATCGTCATAAAGCTGCACCACCCAATACTATTCTCATACATTCACAAATTTCATTATAAAATATTTAATAGGGCCCAATTCCCTTAAATTCATATGCATCGATCTTATCACACACCGCAACACTATATGGCCTTGCAGGCTGTCCAGAACTTTTCTCCGGGTATATTTATCATCTTTACAATTGAAACACATATGCTAATGATGCAGACTGTAGTCAACATCCTAGATGGCAACCCTACAAAATAAATGATGCACTGCATTTATAAGACTTATATACAATGTGCTAGAATGCATGATTTAGAAGAGCAACATCCTGGTGTAATCCTCAAGGATGGGGAGTTTTTGCTCGTTGTCATAGCCATACATGACGCGGACCATCCTCGCAAAGTTTAGTGATGCCGTGATGAAGCTATGCGATAATGTTGACTTCATCCCAGAGAAGCATTCGTTGTTCAGACACTCCCATTCACTCGCAATCATATCCAACATGTGCTCATCGGCATCACCACGAGGATTTTCTCTCTGGTATAACTCTTTGTATGATCCATCTAGCCCTTCTTGTGATTCATCCTGCATTAGACAAAGAACAAAAATGTCAGATAATGCCTATTTTGGTTAATGTCGACGTGGATGAGCACCCACTAGGATATGAACTGAATGATTTTATGTAAAACAATTTGTTAGTGTTAATCCTAATGTGTTATTTGATTACATCCATTCTGTGTTCTAACCTTTGCACTACCCATGTCGTCCCAGAGCCTCATTATCTTTGCAGGGCAGGAGATGACCCGATGAATGTTTTCTTTGTTGCCCTCTGTTAAATCATGCCCTAACATGAAGAAAAGATGTAGGAAAACAAGTGGTGCTCCTGAAGTGATGATTCCGTTTCTTAGGTAGTCCTCGGATGTAGGGACTTGATTAGTAGATAACCATTTCCCCTCGATCATGAATCCATCAAACAGAGTTGCCCACTGTAAGAAGAAAAAGGCAGGAAGAAAAGATCAACTATTTAAGTGTTATTTTACCATCTATTATTTTTGTACATACAACTAGGTAATTTCACTACATTGCAATAGGGGCGCACATATTTTGTATATAATCACCATGGTTTCCTCGCCATTTTAGTGTTAGTGTGATTAGGTACTAAAAATGCACTTTAGATAATTGTATCAATTCTTATCACTTATTGGCTTGCCAAAGAAAATAAATTGAGTTTCTGGTAAGCCAATAAAACATGGGTCAGTTGAGATTATTCAAGGAAAGTCGGTCGAGAAAATTAGAAAAATAGGAAAAGGAGGAGGTGGTGTGGGGAGGGAGAGCACGGACAAAAGAAAGGAACAACAAATAATCATACATAGGATAAAATACTCAAAAATTATACAGTACACATAAATATTTTAGCCGGTACTGTTACTATATTTAGTTGCTTTGGAAAATGAAACTAAAGAGAAATGAAGAACTACTCTAGTAGACATACAGCTTTCCTGAGATGATTGATAGGGTTCGCTCCATGCTCTTTTCTAACCATGTCGGCAATATCGTTTGTAATGGTGTAAAGAGCCTTGTAACATGATATCATGTAGTTGGGAAGTGGGTCAGCAGCTGCAAGATCCCACCTGTCAAAATATGCAATTTGTGTGTGAAACTTCCATAACAACATTTTTCACATCATGTATAAGGTCTTAACTAACACATGAGTCTTATTATCCCATTAACAAATAGATACCATTCTAGTTAAGACCTTATACATGGGCTACGATGGCAATGTGCACTGGTTTGTATGTATATACAATAAATAATTATAAAAATATTAATATATGTAAATGTTTATCTTAAAGGCACAATGTTTATTTCAAACCAATCTTAAAACATCTTCATATATTGTAGCTAAAAGTTGAAGAAATTTGAATATGCGATTGGACATATTTAATATGCAATTTAATTACGACATTTCTTCACTAACAATTATCAATCTTATTTTCATGGGAACATCATTGCTCACATTTTGATCGCTTCATTGAAGAGTGAGATCTCCTCTTGTGTGGCGACAAGATCAAAGATGTCATCCACAATGTAGACTATGGATATGATCTTTGTGATCTCGATCCGATATCTAGAGAAGGAGAAACCCTCTAGGACAGTCATGGGCCACATGTACCATTTAAGAAGTTGGTCCCTTGCAGCCGGTACATCTTGAGCCAATCCCAGATCCATCCACCATCTGTGTGAAAAGGAAATTTTCATATAGTAAAATCAACGACCCTTTCAATTGCGGGAATACATTATCAACCAAAAGTACTAATTTATAAAATTTGGCCAAGAGTTCTAGCATTTTTCTATTATCAAGATGGTGGACATATTTGCTACTTTTCACAAAATTAAACATGGAAAGGTAGTCGTTTATATGTTTATACCTCTTAACCTCTTGCATCTCCCTGTGATGCTGCAACTTCTTAATCTGAAACTCTGCACATGCCAGATTCTCAATTGTCATGTTCCTAGTGGGCAAGTTCTGCAGGTAGCTCAGATGGTGCCTTGCCTTGTATTGCATCAGACTCACATGATAGGGATGGTCTAATGACTGCCTCACATATCTTGCAAGGTTTGGCTCCAAATACTTAATTGCAAATCTAAGATGCTTGCTTGAGAATTCATCTGCCTTGTAGAGTGATGGCTCTCCCATGTTGAGGTGTGACATGTCTTGCAAGCTCAGCAGCACTCTAACGTCTTTGCTGAGCCCAAGGTTGAAATCACCATTATCATTTGCAAACTTCCGAAGAACATTGTCTGCCGAGTCATGCAGATGGGCTCTTAGCCAGAGTCATACATAATGGGAAGAATACGTCTCAAGGGAGGTGCTTGTACACTCCACAAGAAAACGTTAAAAAAATTCTATTAGATTTGGCTACTCTGATTTTTTTCCAATAAAGTTATCACGCAAAATTCATTTCATAGACTATTAATGCACTCAAGCTTCCCAAACTTGTGTATTTATCTGTCTTGACATGCTAAGCTTGTATTTTACTGACCTGCCGAAACACAATACCCAGCTTCTCTCATCAACCTCAATGAAATGGTTGCATCAAGCAGATCATCACCATGGATGAGATCTGCACATGACTCCACGATGGAGTCTATCTCGTCTTGGAAATAGTGGTCGATGCAGAGGCGCTTGAGGTGATCAACAGTGGTCAATAAGCCTCGTCCACTCGGTGGATGTTGATGTAGCAATGCTTGAACATTCATTAGGCTTTCCTGTTGTTGCACACAAAGAGCAAATTTCTTTTAAAAAAGAATACATAGTTTACAAGACTTAAAATAATTAGATTCTCTATTAAAATACTTCCATGATAATGTATGTTTATATTTTCCCAACATCTTTAAAAAAATAACAGGAAGAGGTAAGGTTTGAGAACTGTCCTCATTCAAAAGACATATCATTATCAACCACAAAAAAAAGATATCATTAATTGATGAATGAAATACACATTTTCTATATCTCCTCCGTTCTGAGTAGACACAGCATCCTAGAATGACTTCTAAACTGAGGGTATAGAAAATGAGGTGGATGGGCTAGCCAAGGTTCAAGCTTCACTTTTATTTACTAAGGGTGTGGTTCGGTCTCAGTCGACCGAGATTTAATCAGGTCTTATCAAGTGAGATACCATGTAAGAGAGAAAAAGAAAAACTGATGGATTTGCACGGATCTCAATGCAGGATCTCATGAATATAGCATCGACTAAGACTTAATGACGACCAAGTCTCTTTTATTTTTCTTTCTGTGGAAGGTGACGTTTATGACGACAGCCTGGTGAGATTCAAAAAGCTAAGGCTCAACATTAGCTCTGATGGGTTTGAAATCAATCCCTGCAGGTGTAACTAAAAAAGACATATACATGTGTGCTAATTGCATTCACCGGCCATAACAATATATATATACCTGGAAGTCAAAATCATCGGACAGCCCATGGGACGCAGGCTCCCGCCCGGGACATATCACCGTCGAAGGGCGGAAGAAGCCATGGTTGCGGCCGCTCCGGCCACCATTTCCAGCTACCCGTGAAGCCGAATGGAGCAGTGGCTCGACCGAGGAGAAGGTGAAGAAGGCAAGCAGTGGCTCGACCGAGGAGAAGGAGAAGAAGGCATGCGCAGCAGCCATCGGTTGCTGAATCAATGGTGGCTGACTAGCGTAGTGTGGTGTGTTACAGATCGGCTAAGTAGGCTAGTTAACTTGGTAACTAACTAGCCTGGATGATATGAGATGAACAAGTAGCTGCTGCTGCTGCGTCTTTGGATGGATGGGGGATATGAGCAATGCATATATGCCCTCCAGATTTATAGGGAGAGGAGAGGACAGGAGAGGAGAGCGGAGCAGAGCAGAGGTTGCAGCTCCGTGGATCCATCCACCACCTAGGAGTGGACTGTCTGCCCGTGAGTCATATGCAAAATTCACTAAACATGCACTTGCAGCATACGTGTGTAGTGTCAAAAACGTTTTTATATTATGTGACGGAGGGAGTAGCTAGCTAGAGACTCCATGCTAAGTCAATTTGTCGTAGTACCTTAAGTAATGCACATTTACTTAATGTAGACAAAGACAAGTTTATTACTTTCACATCCCTCACGCGCGTCACGTCATGCATGCACATTAACCATGTTTCTTTAGAGTAACAGGGAGGGCCTCCCGGTTGCACTGAAAATGAAGCCAACATGTTCACAGAATCTGTCATGGCCAGAGGCCAAGACATGCAACTAAGAAGAATAAAGCAGAGTTTACTAACTACAAGAGAATCTTCAAGTAACACACATGCCGAATATCCACTATGTTCACTATATTCTTCGCTTGACCGGTACACCATTGGATCCAAGATCCGGCTTGCTTTTTAGCTTCAGCATTCGAATTGTTCGTTAGGAAAACTTGAAACTGTTTAGTGTAGTATATCAATTAATTCATCGTGCTTTGTGGGTCTAGCGGGACCACACTTGCATCCTCATACACCATGCATCTTGCTATGAGCAGCAACTAGCGTGAAGAAATTATGATAAAGTATATGTATGTATTTTTTACCTCGAAGTATTCCTATATACGTAAGTAAAAAGGCCGTCGACGGATGCAAGATGAAGAAGACTACGGCATTCCCAAGAATTTGATTTTTTTTTGTATGGATGTGTTTATAAGGACTTGTTAAAAAAAAAGATATATTCTTCTGATATTTTTAGGAGCAACATGGTCGTCATGTTTACTCGGTTTCCTCTTGCTCTGAGCGCGTGTACGTACGATGTGTGTGTGTATGGTAGTGATGGAGACGACAAATATCGCGACATCCTGGGTTTTTGAGTTTGTCCCTGCTGTCCTAGAGCCACACATGTATATGCATATATTTTCACAAAAAAATGTATATGTAGATACGTACATTCCAGCATTCTGCTCCTGTAGCAGTATCACAAATGATGCTGAGTCACGGGTACGTGAACGTCTCGATCTGGCCGGGTGAAGGGGGTTTTGGTTGGTCGAGAGGGGCATGGAAAAGTCTACCGATGGGCGAATTTTCGACCGGTTGTTGCCTAGCTAGCTAGCGATGCACGCAGAACGTACTATGTATGTCCCGTAAAAAAAAATTCAAAAACGTACAATGTATGATGGTGCATCTCCACCTATAAATTGCCCCATATTCCTGTGGATCAGACGGTCCAGACATGTTTTGCTATTCAACGCGGTACATTATCCATCCGTTGATCGATTGGGGCCTCCTTTTTCTGCAAACCGAAAGACGAGGGGCTTTCTGAGCTTCCAGAGCCACTGTCACGCACGGCATCGGACACCCCGGTCTTATCCGAAATTTTCTTCCTCGCCCGCGCCCATTTCGGCGTGAAGCAGTTGCCTCACATCCATGCCTGTCAGCGCCGCTCCAGAGTGTGAGCCCCACATTTATGACTACCGACAGCGGATGCGACCTCTGAGTGGAGCCAACATTGAAGGGGCGTGCTAGCCGAGAGTGCCGCCCATGCCGCGTCCCGGAGTACTCGTCTTCTCTCCGCATTCAAACGCCACCCATCCGTCCGCCTCCCTCCATTAGACAAAGCGCGGATGTTGACAGATCCACTTCCGCGTGCGCATGTGAAAGTCGCCCATCTGTTCGGCTCCTGGCCGACATTAAACACCCCGTCGCTTGGCCTGGCCACGCCCGCTATTTTTACATTGTTAAGCTCGGCATCACCATGAGCAAGGCCCAGGCGCACTTCACCGACATGATGGCGCAAGAGCGGGAGGTGGCATTCCGGCTGGCGCAGGCCAGAGGTACAATTTCCGGCTCCTCGACAAGCACTGGCTTGCGGAGGAGCAAATCACCGGTGACCTGGCAAACGAATACGCCCTCATGGCCATGATAGCGGACGTGGAAGGGCAGAAAATGATGTTCCTGTCTGACCGCACCGCTGCTAGATCATCCATGAGCGATCGCGGTTGCGCGTCCTGCGCGTGGAGAAAGACGCTCTATTTACGGACATCGACACGGCGGCGGAGGAATTTGAGGACGACGCTGACAACACCATCAGCTCCGCATCGGCCGCGCCACTGCCACCGTTCGCGTGCTGCCTCCACAACGACGAGGCCGACATGGCCACGACCGCCGTCGTTGATAGCGCGGTAGAGTAGAACATGGGATGCCGCCACCGCTTGGGTCCTAGGCAGACGTTGTCAGGCCTCATAGCTGAAGAGCTTGCCGGAGCTTCAAGGAGGCAACTACCATTCTTTCCCTCCCGCTGAAGCTCCACTTCCGGGGTTCACAGCCGGCCGGTGAGCTTGCTGCCTAACCTGGGAAAGACATGTCGTGGGAAAAGGACGCCGTCGCGGCCCGCAATCATTTAGACTAGGTAAAAATAGTCTAGTCCGCTATAGTTTAGTAAAAATATGTTGGAAATGTAATTTTTTTTGTCCGCCTTATATGAAAATCATTCGATTTGCATGTAATTCGTCCGGTTTATTGAAATCCGATTTGAAATTTATGTGGACACGGTTGGATTACCTACTTCAATATCACTGTCCATGAAATGGTTCGGACCAGTCCATAATGGATACTGTAATTTTGGGGTCGGCATTGGAGATGCCCTAGAGGAACTTAATTTGACCCCATCTAGGCCGGTCGGTTTCGTCTAAACCGTGAATGCTACTAGCGAACAGAGCGGTCAAATAAAAAGAATTCCCCAAACATATGTAGCATGTGTGCACACGCTTGGTACTGGCAATGCGAGTGTACCTAGACCTTCCTCACAAAAAATAAAAATAGATCAACACACGCAAATTTGTCGTGTGGTGCCAAACAATTATTGGTGGAGCACCTGGTTAATTCGTTTTATGTGGGAAACATGAGGTGAATTATTACTTTTGATAAAGAGAATAATTGACAAAAGAGCATCATCTGTGTGTAATAGTATCTACCGCCAGACTTAGCAAATCTAGCCCTCTAAACGTCTGCGGACGCGCCCAGTATGTCTATGCCGGATGTTTCCATTCTGAGCCCCTATTTGTTTATTTATGCAACCACACTTCTCATTTTTTTTCCCTCATATATCCGGTCACTTGCACATGATTGCTAAAGATGAAAAGAGAGAAATAAAAGAATGAAAACAGAAAGAGAGTAAGTGGTACGCGGTGAGCCGCGTCCTAAATGGCGGACCGACCGGGCGCGCCCACGAGCGGACGAGCCCTTATATCCTTCCTACATTTATTCTCAATATGAGGATTCGCGAACAGCCCGGACGTGATTGTATGATGGATCCGGTTGGGTCGCTTGTTTCATTGACTGGGGGCGTCCGCGGGTGCTTTGACAAGGATTCGAGGATGCAGGTTGTAGCTCTAAACCTGCCTCTAAGGTGGGTTTCATATGCTTGTCTCTAATTTTAATTATTTTTCTTGCAATGTAGTAAGCCTCTAAGGAGTGGCCCAGCTGCTACCTCTAATCACTATCCACATCCAGAAAAATAATCTTTTGTTCAACCTTTTTGAGCATTCAGTTTTCAATCACCAAGCTCACATATTATTATTCTACTCCTTAGACGTAGGCAATGCTAATGATTTTTGGTTAGTGGGAGTTGGTGCAATGAATTTGCTTTACAGGAAATTCATAGAAATTGTAAAGGATAGAAATTTTATAGGAAACCTTTCTTTGGAACCTTTGATTCGTGGGAATGGATTTGGCAAATCTGCCAAACGTCTGTGAACGCGGGCGTGTCCATTTTGAACCCCTATTTATCCATTCGTACAACCATACTCCTCATCGTTCCTATAGTACTCCAGGACACGTGCGATGAGTTAAGATCCCAAGGTATGGATATGGGCGTCCCCACTACCAATGACAGAGAACGAGCTCGAGCCACCAGCTGCTGCACCTCTCTCCACCCACATGACCGAGAGGGAAAGCCACCACCGCCACTATAGTGCCCACTAGAGAGCCAACCATGCGGACCGCCATCCAGGGCCACCACCCCGGCATCGATGTCTGAGACACAACTAACTCCATGCATCACTGTGCACCAACCATGGTAGGAAGATTAGAAGGGGTCTCCTTTCACTCCTACAGGCTGGCATTAGCCAAGGAGTTTTGGTCGATGCTTCCAATGATAGGAGGCGTCCATGCCCGTGTCCATAGCCAATCTTGATGGACCTGTGGGGTAGTCACTAGTAGAAAAAGGATCAAACGTGAAGCACATTAGTGCCGGTTTGTATTTGAGCCGGCACAAATGTATACATTAGTGCCGGTTCCAACAGCTAGCCGGGCCGCTCTCATTAGTACCGGTTCGTGGCTAACCTTTAGCACCGGTTCGTGCCACGAACCAGTATTAATGAGAGTGGTGGCAGGATGTTGTCAGTCTGGGGCCCCTCCAGCACCTTTAGTACCGGTTCTTGGCACGAACCGGTACTAAAGGTCGTCCTACGTAAACCCTTCGTCCACCCGAGCTCGCTCTGTTCTTCCACTTTCCCCTCTCCTCTCTGTTCTTCCCCTCTTCCTCTCGAGCTCATCACACATTTTGCCCAAAATTTGTCAAGATTTGAAGGCCCCCATCCATTCAAATGATCACAAAGGTTAGCAACTTTGTCCTTTCATCTCTCATTGCTAGATTAGCTCTTGCAATGCTTTATATAGTTATTAATTTGTGAGT